TCTTAATTTCGCGGCTGCTGTCACCATCTGCAGTGATCGCGGAGCCCAAAAACCACCATGCAGATTTCTAAGAGACTATCCCCACTGCTTTTCTGTCAGAAAGGTGAACGTGCAAACTTTTCTGTCTGAGGGGCTCCACAAAATGTGTGAATTCTTGGAAATTTTTCTTAAAAATATCCAGGTTGTACATCAGAATACACAGCACAACAAAGCCTTTGGCTGTGTAGATCATGAGAAACTATGGGTTGTTCGGGGAAAAATGATGTACCTCAGCATTTGATTGTCCTGATGTGTAACTTGTACTGTAGACAAGAAGCTATTTTTCGTACAGAATATGGAGATACAGAATAGTTTCCTATAGGCAAAGATGTCAGACAAAGGTGCGTTTTATCCTCTTACCTAGTCAGTCAGTATGCAGAAAATATCATACAGAAAGTCAGATTAGATTCAGAGGAAGGAGGTGAAACATGGTGGAGAAAGATCAGTAATGTAAGACCGTGTGGATGACACCATCTTACTGGCAGAAAGCAGCAATGACTTGAAAGAACTTTTAGAGAAAGAGAAAGAAGAAAGTGCCAAAGCAGGACTGCAGCTGAACATTAAGAAAACAAAAATCATAACTATAGAAGAACTACACAACTTTAACGTTGACAGTGAAGAGTTTGTGAAATGGTTAAAGATTTTGTATACGTTAATTTAATCATCAACCCAAATGGAAATGGCAGCCAAGAAATCAGAAGAAGACTGAGACTTGGAAGGGCAGCTATGAAGGAATATGTAAAGGTCATCAGATGTAGGAATGTGTCACTGGAAACCAAGGATAAGATTATTCACACTCTTGTATTTCCAGTCACCATGTATAAGTGTGAAGACTAGACAGTTAGGGAAGCTGACAGGAAAAAAGAATTGTTTGGGAAAGAGAGAGCTGGAAGAGAGCTTTGTGGATATCCAGGACTGTCAGAAAGATGAAGAAGTGCATGTGGATCTAGTCTCTGGGTGTCTGTGTGAATTTCATTGTTTGGATATTCCTTGTATATACTTACAATGACAATAAATTAATTTAAAGTGGGCCCTAGATCAAATCAAGCCTAGACTATTTCTGGAGGCAAAAATGTTGAAACTGAGGCTATCCTAGTTTCTCTTCAAAAAACAACAATGATGGGAAAGATTGAAGGTGGCAGGAAAACAGGAAGATCAAATATGAGACAGACTGACCCCCTAAAGGTTTTAGGTTTTAATCCCCAGATTACACTTACCTGTGCAAAATTTCTTGCAGATGGATGCAAGATGCATAAAGATATAATGGATAATGATTTTAAGTTATAACTTCCTTTTAATTCCTCCCCCCCCCCTCTGTTTTAGCATTTTGGCTGTCTCATAAATGTAACCTGCATTGTATCTATTGTCTTTTGCTGGTCATGGACCATAATAATAAACAAATGAACAAACAACTCCCTAAAGCACGGGTCTCAAACTCAATTTACCTGGGGGCTGCTGAAGGCAGAGTCTGGGTGAGGCTGGGCCGCATCAGATTTTCCGCCAAGCAGAGCAAGAGCCCGAAGAAGCCGCCCATGAGTTTCCTTAGCCCGGCTGGGACTCCGAGGAGGAGGAGGAGGGGTGCGCGGGCCCTTGTCGCCGGCCACGACCCCCTCCGGCTCCTTCTTCACTACCAGCAGCAGCAGCAGGATGAAGAAGTGGAGAAGGGAAGGAGCACTGGCAACTGCCTAGCTGAGGGGGGGAGGGCATGACATAAAAATTTTTAAAAACCCTCACAGAATTCGCCTTGCCAAAGGAGAAAAGCCCCTAATTAAACAGAACGGGGCGGGGCCGCAACAGGTGTGCGCACGCATACACACAAACACATACACACACATGGAGATCCAGCAACCTTCCTCTGCGGGACCCCCCTCAAAAAAAGGCACACTCAGCAGCAGCAGCAGCTACCCCCACCATGATAGAGGAGCAAACTTTGAGAGGCGAGCCCAGGCAGCCGCCAGAGCCAAGGCAGCTGAAGCAAGACGAAGACGCCGCAACAGGTGTGCGCACGCATACACACAAACACATACACACACATGGAGATCCAGCAACCTTCCTCTGCGGGACCCCCCTCAAAAAAAGGCACACTCAGCAGCAGCAGCAGCTACCCCCACCATGATAGAGGAGCAAACTTTGAGAGGCGAGCCCAGGCAGCCGCCAGAGCCAAGGCAGCTGAAGCAAGACGAAGACGAGGAGGAAGAAGCACTGCCAGGCACTGAGGCAGCTGCTGGCAGGGCTGGTGCTGGGGGTGCTGAGAGAGAAAGAGAGCCAGAGAGCCGCTTCCCTGGAAGAGGTGGTGGCGGTGGCGGCAGCTGCTGTTGGCTGCTTGGAGGTGCTCTTTGAGGACAGGCTGGGAGCGAGCTCCGCTCTTAGCCATCACTCGGTGGCGGCTCGGGCGCTCAGGAAAAGGGCCAGCAGTGCGCTTCACTCATCAGCTATCCCCCATGCCAGCACCTCTTGCACCCTCTATCCAGAACTGCAGCCTGCCAGCCGGCAGACAGGCTGGCTGGCTGGCAGGCTGCAATTCTGAATGGAGGGTGCAAGAGGTACTATCTTGGGGGAGAGCCGGCGAGTGGGGCAAGGCTTTTTTTGACTCTTGACAGCAGAGAACGCGTGGGTGCTTCGGGGGGGAAGCAAGGCGGGGGCCACAAACTATCATCCGGCAGGCCACAAATGGCCCCCGGGCCGCATGTTTGAGACCCCTGCCCTAAAGGAAGCCACAGGCTTGAGTTTACAAGAGCTGAGCAGAGCAGTTGAGGAGAGGACATTTTGGAGACATGTTGCTATGTACGAGCAAGTCACGTCCGACTCACTTCTGTGAGTCGAAAGTGACTTCCTGGTACACAGCAACACGAACAACATATACCATGCAGTGATAGATTATAGAAGACAGAAAGTAAAATCAGTGGGCATAGTCTTTCTCCATCTGCCTAGCTTCTTTATACCTCTAAAATTCTCATTGAACAAATTCCAGAAGGATAGAATTAAATATAATGTAATTTGTTGCCATGTTAGTCTGTGCAGCAAAAATAATATACAGACTTTGGACACTTAACAAATTTATTGACCTAAAAGCCATTGGGTCAGGTACATGGAAAGTGAAAAGAAATTTGTTTATCTTTAAGATATACAAATAACCTGAACCTAAAGCAGAATGTAACTGCTGTCCCTGCTTACCAATTATTTCTATATAGAAAGACTTAGAAAGACTCAAAAACATTGGAAACCAAGGTGCCCTCTCTTTTTGAGCCAAGGCAAATCTCTGTGCTTTCACCCTATATTTTTTTAATATGAATACCACAGGATGGATCTCAGTTATGCCAAATCAAAACATCCTCCAGTTTAGGGACTCAGCCACTATGTTGGCACAAAATTAAGACAGGATGGAGGGCAGTCCTGAGTGATTGCCAACGTGCCTAGTCTTGGAAGGGTTTGGATCCAGCATAGCCTTAGCAGGTCTAATGTCAGGTCAGGTTGCCCTCCGCTGTCTTGGGTAATTAGAATTGCACTCTAAGCCTGTTACTGCAAGTCTGATCAAATTACAATAAAGAATAGTGTCTGATCACACTGGAAAGGGTTGCTTCAGTGATCTCCCTTAAAACAACCTTTCCATGCATACAGGTATCACCCCAGGCCAGCTTTAAAAACAGTAGCCCTATCATTGGACCAAAGAAGTCCAAACTGAGCATGGAGCAGGACGGAGCTGGTTCACAATCTCCTGTGCATCATCTGATTGTCAGAAAGCAGTTTGCACTGGACTGTGCTACAAGCAGTCCAAAACGTGAACTATATCTACATCTAATCACACTGCAAGCTGACATGCATCCCTTTGGGTATCTACTCTGTTTTCTCTTGTCATTACTTCCCTTGCCTTCTTCTGTTGCTTTCCCTGTGCTTTAGACTGCAAGCTTCTTGGGGCAGAGGCCTCCACACTTATATTTTGTAAAGCACTGTGCACATCAATGGTGCCTTATAATGAAACAACTAACAATAACAAATTGGCTCAAATCAAGTAGAAGTTTGCTAATAGAGTAGGTCTATTGAATCAATGGAATTTATCAACAAGTTGATTCACGAAATCCCTACTGATTGAATCCCCCCTACTGTAGTTGCAACTTACTCCTGGATATCAACCTTCGAATGGCTACTTACCTATCCTAGTCTCCAATTACACAAAAAGATCACAAACATTAATTTAGATGTGTACAAAACATGCAGAGGCACTGGGAACTTTTAAAAGATTATTTAAAACATTTAGACATTTATTTAAAAAAAATTAGACAGCCCTCCCAGACTCTAATATCTTGATACAGTGGTGCTTTTAATACTATACTTTCAACCATTTGCCATACATTATTTTAATGTATTTAATTTTGTTACTTTTATGTTTTGTTTTAAGTTGTTATTGATTATTTCTGTTTTATTGCTTTGTATTATTGTATGTGTAAACCACCCGGAGTGGCTTTGGTAGCCAGATGGGCGGTATAAAAATCAAATCAAATCAAATAAAATCAAATCAAATCAAATCAAATCAATCAATCAATCAATCAATCAATCAATCAATCAATCAATCAATCAATCAATCAATCAATCAATCAATCAATCAATCAATCAATCAATCAATTAATACTGGGGCCATATAAGTCAGTCAGTCAATCAATCAATCAATACTGGGGCCATATGCAAGCCTTATTTTGTTTTTTGTTTAAAAAATGGCCCTAGAAAATTTTATATTTCTCTTTGTGTCACGTAATTCATGTTAGCCCAGACGCCTGTGCTCTCAGTTCCAAAAGAAAACAGAACAAATGCACTCTGGGATATCCTGCATTATTTAGCAGCACTGTATTTGTTAATGGATAGTTTCATGTCTCTGACAAAGGCTTATACGCTAAAAATCTTGTTTCAGGGGAAAACCCAATGTGCATTCCACTGTGTTTACTTTTTAATCTGTCTCCTAATTATAGGATGCTACAAAATAATCAGCTCATTCAGATCCCAGCAGAGGCTCTGCGTGACCTTCCAAACCTTCAGTCACTGTAAGTCCTTCCGGATTGTCATTGCCTATTTGGAATCATTTACTGTCCATGGCTAGGTAGATATGCAGCAGTGGGTTCAAGGTTCACACTTCAGAGCATGCTTCAAACCCTCTACCAAGAGGTGGAGGAAGCATTAGTGGCCTCTTCTGAGTTACTGTTTTCCCTCAGAGAATTATAGAACTAGAGTTACTTCTTTCCATTAGAGAATGCCCATAGACAAAAGTGATACCTTTAGGAAAAATAAATGTGATCTTTAGAGATCGTAAACATAATTTTCGTAATGACAGATGCTTGCTTGGTTCCATGTCAAGTCATTACAATATGCCATTCACTTTACAATTCCTTTGTATTTCCTATTTAGAACTGTTTTCCTTGTAACTGCCTTTTTCACACATACCTCTGTATTTAAAGCCATCTAACTTGGAGGTGACCCTACAGCTTAACTATTGGACATGTGAGACTTTTGCTGGCCCTGAAAAAGGATAGGTCATGATGAAAACTCTAAAATTAGTTTTTGAGGCACTTTGATCTCTGAAGCGGACAGAGGCTTGGGGCAGGAGCTGGTTCTCAAACCAAATGGTGGTGGGTACTTAACAGATGAAATCCCATTTAGATTCTTATATGATCTTTTCCAAAGCAAGTACGCCTTTCAATATCAAGGAAGTGATTTTGAGCTTTCTTCTCCCATCTTGTGGTCTGGACAGCATCCAAGGATGTAGCACACCTAGTTCTCCCATCAACAGTTACCTATAATATGTTGGCTGAAACTGAATAATTAACACTTGCAGGGTGGTATGTTAATTTCTTTTAATTTCTCCACTAAAATAGCAGTGTGGAATGTATAACCTTCCAGATGTTTTGGTCTGCAACTGCAGAATCCCATATCACTGGCCACATTGCTTGGGGTTGAGGGAGATGTGTAGATCAGGACACCTAGAAGGCCAAAAGTTCTTTACTGCCAAACTCAAATGAATTGTATAAGCCTGGGAAAGTGGTGGAACTGTGAGAAAGGCCTCCCCAAATGATAGTGAGGCTCATGCAATGAGCACTGTATGTTCAAATGATCATCCTCAAGCAATGAGTTATCTTAGGTCCAAACTACACATCAATAATACAAAACCACATTAGTTTACCAGAAATGTAATTCAAACTGTAATTCAAACTGTCTGACATCTGATCGTTCAGCCTGGAGGCAGGCAGTACATCACGGCCTCTCCCAATTTGAAGAGACCCTTGTCCAGCAGGCCGAGGCAAAGAGGAAGTCACAAAGGAAGCAAAACCAGGGAGCTGGACAGGGGACAGATTGGATTTGTCTTCAGTGTGGAAGAGATTGTAACTCTTGAATTGGCCTCCCTCAGCCACACTAGATGCTGTTCCAAGTCCTCCATACAGAGCACGCTACCATAGTCTTTCGAGACTGAAGGATGCCTACTAGTAATTCAAACTCTGCCTGTGAAATCAGATTTACAAATGATGGTTCATCCATAACATCTTGGAGAGCCTTCAAGCACATGGATTTCACTTTCTAACCTAACTAATATTTTATGTGAGGAGTATAGCAGAAAACATTTATAAGCCATCACATTCATTAACACTTTGTCGAGTTGATTTGTCTGTACCTGCATGCATGTCTGCACCACCATGCACTTCCAGCTCCAGGAGTGATCAAGACAACTCAACTAGAGATAATTTTGGTGTGAGTCACCCACAGATTATTTTATCTAACAAAAATGCATCAGCCATCTCCCCTTTCTTTCTTTCTTTCTTCCATCCCCCTCCCTACAGAAAGGATAATCTACAGCTTTTCTGAATTTCCCTCAGCTATGGCAATTCTTCTACTAAATCTAGACATAATAGAGAAACCCACTCTTTGGAGAGCTCCTTGCTCTCATTAAGTCCAATTAGACTAGTGGTTATTAGGATAAATTAGGTTTGATTTGAGAGAGATGAAAAGTTGTTGAGTAAACCTTTTCCCCCTTAGCAGGCTCCTTTGTGAGTTAAAGGCTGAGCAAAGCTGTTTTCTTCAGATTTCACTGGGGCTGCCAATGCCTCTTTATTCAAAGTGGCCTTATGCCAAACACTCCTCTACATTTTCTCATCTTCCCAGGGATGCTCATCACTACATAGAAAGAAAGAAAGAGCAGGTCTGTATGAAGGCCTTTTTCAGTATCTATGAGTAATTTTCCACAAGGCCTCTGTATTTATTGCCAACCTGGAACATCCATATATCATTGCAGAATGACTTCCAAACATTACAAGTTGACTAGGGATCTGAGTTGCTTAATTTACCCAGAGCCTGTGTTTTTTCCATCTGCCCTGAGTTATAGGGCTCGCATTTTGTTTCATAGAATGCTAACTTACTGCCTGGAAATCTAGCAACACTCCATAAAGTATTCATCACTGATGTGGGAGTTAAAAGGTTTGGCAACATGGGGCAAGAGCAGGTAGATGATACAAAGAAAACTTGAACACCATTACCTTTAATGTGACCAACAGACTGGTGTAATAAAGATGTGAATCCTTCATGGATTGCTGCCTTGTCGTGGTGAAGGGGCTTGAGTAATTCAGAGAAGCTATGGGCTATGCTGTGCAGGGACACCAAAGATGGACAGGTCATAGTGGAGAGTTCTGACTAAACGCAGTCCACCTGGAGCAGGAACTGGCAAGCCACTCCAGTATCTTCGCCAAGAAAATTCCATGAGCAGAAACAAAAGGCTAAAAGATATGATGCTTGAAGATGAGCCCCTCAGGTTGGAAGGCGTCCAAAATGCTACTGAGGAAGAGCGGAGGACAAGGACAAGCAGGTTCAGAGCTAATGAAGTGGTTGGGCGAAACCTGAAAGGACGCTCAGCTGTGGACACGCCTGGAAGTGAAAGGAAAGTCTGATGCTGCAAAGAAAAATACTGCATAGGAACCTGGAATGTAAGATCTATGAACCTTGGGAAGCTGGATGTGGTCAAACAGGAAATTGCAAGAATAAACATTGACATCCTAGGTGTCAGTGAACTAAAATGGATGGGAATGGGTGAATTCCATGCAGGCGATTATCATATCTACTATTGTGGGAAGGAATCCCTTAGAAGAAATGGAGTAGCTCTTATAGTTAACTAAAGATGGGGGGGAGCTGTGCTGGGATACACTGACATACTAGGTGTCAGTGAACTAAAATGGATGGGAATGGGTGAATTCCATGCAGGCGATTATCATATCTACTATTGAGGGAAAGAATCCCTTAGAAGAAATGGAGTAGCTCTTATAGTTAACTAAAGATGGGGGGGAGCTGTGCTGGGATACACTGTCAGAAATGATAGAATGATTTCAATACGAATCCAAGACAGACCTTTCTACATCACAATAATGCAAAATTATGCACCAACCACTAATGCCGAAGAGTCTGAAATTGACCAATTCTATGAAGACTTACAACACCTTCTAGAACTGACACCAAAGAAAGATGTTCTTCTCATTCTAGGGGACTGGAATGCTAAAGTAGGGAGTCAAGAGATAAAAGGAACAACAGGTATGTTTGGCCTTGGAGTTCAAAACGAAGCAGGGCAAAGGCTAATAGAGTTTTGTCAAGAGAATAAGCTGGTCATCACAAACACTCTTTTCCAACAACA